ACCATCCTCAATGACCCGTCATCACAGTCTCGTCCTCTCAGATACCCCTGTGCCGCACCGGGTTGGAACGCCGTAGAAGTTCTATGGCGCCACGGTCGGTCCAAACGCGCGGCCCGAAGGAACTGCAGGGAAGCAACAACCTGGTGGACTTCCTGTCGTCGGCCTTGGCCACATGGCGGTCTCAATGGTCTCATGGTCTTTTCGGCCCAAGCATTTCCTGGGCCAGTGGCGAGAGGTGATAAGATCGTTTGCCTTATCGTGAGTCCCAAATAAGGCAGGACAGTGGCAGGGCCAACCCTGTATTGAATAAAGGAACGATCAGGAAACAATAGGTTTCCCCGTACAGGCGCGAAGTTTACCAAGGTACATATGTCACTCTTTAGTTGAGTTTTCAATGTTTGGTTGGATGTCCCCGAATCATCCCGAATCAATAGAAACGACTTTCAACAGTCTAACATTTTTTGGCGTCCACCACTGGATTCAGTTGCTTCAACCGGAAGAGCGCCACCCAGGTTCAGCCCGGCAAAGCGGCAGAACCGTGAGAACTCGCTAGTTCTCGGAGTGGCCATGCCGGTTCTGTGAGGCGGGAATCGATGACCCAACGGTTGGGTGGAGCTTCGAACGGTCAACAGGGTTCGGTGGACCCCCATGCCATGGCCTTTCTCAGAGGCCATCGGCTTCCACCGTCGTTGGTGGTCTTGAAATGTCTTGTGTCTTCCACCATCCAAAGTGGGTGGGGCTGGTTGGCCATTGTTGGAAGTAGGATGATGTAGGATGTATATAAAACAGGTATAATTAATGTTGATGAACTTTGATTAACTATAGTAAATATATTCCACCTTAGGTCTCTTCAAAGTGTCCTCTGTGTCAGGCTTACGCTCTTCGACGTCGACAAGAAGATGTCCTTTCAGCGGCGGGCTTCCATCGGTGTGGGCTGCGTTGTGGCAATCCCTGCCGCCAGAAGTGCGTTGGATGTGGGGCAAAAGACATGCACAGCACTGCACTACTATACTGCAAATTTGGAATTCAGGAAGATCTTTGAGCATGCTACAGCAGCAACTCGTTCATTTAATTTTTTGTGATTATGTAATATTATGTAAATGTGTATATCAATGATTTCAAGCATATTCATCAGGTCGAGTCAACCGTCTACACTACAGCACGCACATCATCACCTCACATCTTAACATTTAGAACACTTCTCGGAGGCTTCCGATCAACTTTGTAAACCTCCTTCGCGCCCCCCTGCGCGGAGTCGCGCGGAGTCGGCCGCGGCAACCGCAGTGAAACAGTTTGCATGACGTGGTCCATGTTTTTGAGGCAACCACGTCACGCAGTTTCAGTGGTTAATTTTGCAAGTGGCTATGCCTGGTCAGTCCACAACCCAGGCAGGTACATGGAATATGAAGCGGCGGCGGCCTGGCTCCGGCTTCGCTTTCCGCACAGGGGCGGAGGCGTTATAGATTAAGCCCGGGGCAAAGATCAGCAACCTGAAGTCACCCGTAGCCTCCCTCCAAACATAGGTTTTGTGTAAACAAACACATGTTTAACAGTCTTTAAAGGAACTTGCAGTACAGGAAAAGCATAGGATGGTGCCACGATGTGCCACGTTCCATTTCCTTGCTGAGGAGATAATAAAAGGTTTGAACATCCCCTCAACCTTGGAAAATTACAACCAGGGGTTATGTCACCTGAAGTAATTAATTCATGTGTTTGACACTTAATTGGCATATTATATTGGTGTGTCTATTTTCTTGGTTTTGGGTTTGGCACCCCCGCTCATCCAGTCGTCCACGTCACTTGGACGACCATTTTTGCGGCGTCACCGTCATGAAATATGTTACGGAAGTGTTCAAGATGACATGTTACATGTTTGGACATTGATTGATGTGCTGCACTTTTTGAATTGTGCGCGCATGTTGGCACAGTATAACATTTGACACGTACCGCACCAGGATCCCATCACCCAAAAATTGTGAAAAATTCCAACATGTCCCACATTCCCGGGAATTAGTCTTATATTTCAGCGGTAATGAACCCCTGACTCTACCATATCATCAAAATGGTTTGTGGGTACCTGACATTTTGTGAGGACGGAAATCCGATGTGGCCACAGTGGCCCCCCTAGCTAGGTGCTTTGGGAGATAGTTATCATTCCTGCGAACCAGCTTTTCCAAATCCAAAGGCATCCACCTACACAAAATTGTTGTTGTTGATGTGTGTAGGTGGATGGTTGGCCGTATGTGTGAACACTCCTGCTGAATAGATGCGCACTGATGTCCCAATGTGGAATTGCTGGGGCAAAAGCCTTCCCTCAGAGTTTTCCTTCCATCAGGAGTTCCATCCAGGGAGTCATCAGCAACATATTCCCGCACAATAACACCCAGACACTCCATGTTTGCTATTTTACCTACATTGGGGTGGTTTCAGGGTATTATTCCATACATGGAGTGTTTTGGACAGGATGTGTGTTTCAGGAAGGCCCATGTTTTGCATGCCGGCAGCCCGTTTTGGACCTTCAATGCTCCACAGTACTTAAACGGGGCCAAGTTCGAGATCAGGGTCTATGAACTATGGTAATCCCTCAACTACCCCTCAGCTGACCTTTTCCCCTCCGAAATGGTGCAAGGTCGCCATTGATGCATGAGCCGCAACCCCCAGGAGCCAACCGCCAGCACTGTGGCATTCTACAAGACATGCAGCCATGCACCGCGACTTGATGTTCGGCTTGATGCAACATGACGAGATCCGCCTTGGAAATCCAGGGCTATTCAAAAAGATAGTGAACCTGGTGCTGTAGTGCAAAATCCTTAGGAAACAGCTCGGTGGCTTGGCAAATACCATTACAATAATGGTGGCCCGGGAGGCCTATAGGGACTAGTGATTTGCTGCCAATTGGCACCCATTCAGAAATCATCTCTCACTTTGACCAAGTCATATACGAAGCGGTTGGATTTGCCCAGTGCGGGCGGCTCGTTTTCATCCTGCCGGTGGTGGCCGAATTGTTAAAACCGTTGGCGTTTGGGGCGAGGAGCTCCACATCTCAGGGTCAACTGATGGCCGAACGTGGCCGACTGAGTAGCAGTGGCCGCACCGCAGATCGCTTGGAGATGTGGGAGGGTCCCAAGTGAGTGATGACTGAATGACATTGCGAATCACGAGGGCAGAAGACTATCTCCATACTGTACGCGGGAATCCTCAAAGTCTGCACAGTGTACGGAATGTTTGAGGAGGTTACATGGGCAAGAGTTGGTGGTCATGAAAGTCAATTCCCGAAATGATTTAGTAGGAGAGCCCTGATGATTTGTTGTGCTTCCAAATTGTGAGGTGCTTTGGGAACATGGCAGTCTCCCGTCATCTTCCTTCTCCTCCCGACGAGGGAGACTCCCGTCATCTCTCAACCGAAGATCGCAGAAGGCACAGGTCAGAACACTTGGGGGGCCTCCACACCTCCACTTTCAGAAAGCCTCTCCTGTGGGCGAATGTTCACGGCCAGCTTTTCTCAGGTTTTGAAGGAAAGGGTTTGCCGAGACATGAAGACTTCAGCTTTCAAAAATGCTACCAGTTGAATCGGTCCAGTCCTCCGGTTCTTAGGATTGATGGATCTTGTGGTTCTCAGAATCCGCTCCCTTGGTTCTGGCTCAAGCAGGGCCAAGTTTCATGACGGATCTCCAAGATCTCCAGGATCCCGGCCACGCATGTCCGACATGCAACTGCCAGCCGCGCGCACAAGATCGAGGCGTTTAAGGCATGTACGGCGTGTCAGCCGCGCGCACGCGGAGGCCCAAAAAGGAGCGCTGCCGGTGTGAGGTACCTTGAACGTCCTGACCTCCAATGCAGGGGAAGAGCACAAACTCATCCAAAATATGCCTACCAAGTCAGGAAGACTGGGTTCCTGAGAAGATTTGGTGACCTAAGCCGACTCAGACTTGACACTTGAGACTCATCTTAGCCAAAGGAACCTATTCCTTGGCCCTTCGTACCCATCAAAAGCCGTGTCAACAGACTTAAGCTCCCCCCATCCTGGTGTCCCAGACGTGACCACAGACGGACCAAGGAGGTTTCGACGTCTGGGTACAGTGACCCGAGAGCTCACAGAGTCGCAGGGCTTCATGGGCTTCATCTTCTTTGGCCATTAGGCGTCATGTTAGTCATGTTCCATGGATTTCCATGGATTTCCCTTGCCTCATCCCAAAGAAAACAACAAAATGAAGTACAAGCTCAGGTAAACTGGCGCAGGTTCCGGGACTGTGTTCACCCCGTCTCCACGGTCCCAGAACGCCCGTCGTTTTTTGCTGCTTGGGCTCGCAATCAGCCAGCTTGGCAGAAACCTGTCATGGCATAGCATGAAAGAGAATGTTGCCTGCACACATCATTAGATTGTTGATTGTTTGGACTTGGGAGAGGCCCTCCAAAAAGGCCTCCAAGGCCAAGACCTTCTGCGCAAGTGTTTTGCTGAAACAATCTTAGGCCTCAGCATGGCTCCAAACATCTCAGAGCTAGAGGCCCAGAAGCTTCCCAAACATGTGTGGACACGATAAGCTTTGTGTCAAAGCAGTTGCCCCATAGAATTACTGGTACAGTACCATGCATATGTCGCACAACGATTGATCCCAAGACCTCTCCTCAAATTACCAGCATGACGACTCCATTCTAGTGCATGCCAACAGAGGTTGAGGGACCCTATATCCCATAGGCACCCCAATAATTAGGATCTTATAAGGTCACTTAACCTCTCTTGGTGTTCCCTGCAAAGAAGACCGAAGACCAAGTCCGTCCAGCGACTGAACCACTGACCCTGCGACCCGAACAAACACCGTTCGACCTTCGAGGCCGGGTGCGTTCCCCGCACCCGTTACTACAGTGAGGAGGGCGTGATCAGTTTAGTATCATGAACAGCCCCCCTGTGGAGAAAGAGGACCTTGAGTTGTGCAATTATAGTTTCAATGGGCGTCCCTCCTCTCAGATGCCAACTCCCACCTGATTCACCATCCACACACCCAAAAACGCCAAAGCGGTGCTGCTGCGTTGGCACCTGGCCACCGCCCTCGCCATGTCGAAACCGGGATCCGTGCGCGCTTCCGTGCGAGATCACGAGGAGCGAACGCTCGAGGCCTCCGCGCTTCCGCGCGCCGGTGCCGCGGACCCGATCCCCGGAACGCGACCCGATTGGAGCGTCGGAGCTCCCCAGCCACCGGAACACAGCGGCACCGTCGTTGGGTGTTTGGCCTCGGGGCTCGGGATCCATGTGCTGGTGCGGGACGGGTTTTGGGATGCCAGAGGCGCATGACGAAGACCCTCCCTGGCCCCACTGGCCCCGCAGTCCTGCAGTCCGCCTGTTCTGTGACGGACGTGTGCCGCTGTGTCGTGATGAGCTGAAGATCTGGAACGTCCAACAGCTAGGACGAGGCACGTTATAGGATTCAGGATGGACATTTTGCATTATACTCCTGGATCTGGATCTTGGGTTGGGCAAATATATGATCGACGTGTAGTGTTCGACTTTAGGGGAAGCTCTATAGAACGCTCTGAGAGGCTGAGTGTTTGCCATACAACGGAGCCTGCAAAATATGTCTTAAGTCAATGCGTCCCTGGGAAAATCCTTGGCGCAGTGTTCCCTGGGTTTCTCCATTTCTCCCAGTAGTTCCCACCACCTTTTGACTCACCACTCTTCACACTGACTCAGGTGGATGACAGTGTGGCTTCGCTGGGCTTCGGCTTCCTCCACTTGCCCCCCACGTGACCCGGTTCCGAAGGAAGCCGCGGCTTCGGTGGGGCCCGGCGGTGGGGTTCTGAGGTCGCGTCGGATAGGATTGGTGTGGATTTTGTGGATCTGAAGCTCAGTCATGGCTCATCATCAGTGTTTTATATATTGGCGCCCCTAAAGAGAAACCATCATGGACGTCAGCAAGTGCGGTGGAATATGTTTTTTTTTCAATCTTTTTCCCCAACTCTTGGGGCAAGTAAGCAAGTCAAATATGGTTTTGCCGTGCCCTGCCAGTTTTTGTTTCCATCCTGGAGATTGTCCACGCGAGCTCAGAATTTGAAGGTCCACTCTCCCCCATTCTGATGAAAACTAGGCAATCATTGCCTGATATTATGCAAAAAAAATGTTTGATAATGTCTGATATAATATATAGGTATACGTATTTTATTGTATTTGCCCTTCAACGCCTGCCGAGGAGACGTTCCCCGTTGGTGATCAAGACCGTCAAAAAGGACAAGGGTTTGCCTGTGCAGCTAGCATACGAGGCAGCAGGCTGAATTGCCCATGGGCTTTTGATGTGTTTTGCTCCCCAAGGTTGTCTGCATTCGACAAGGATGTTTGTGACAAAGTTGGTGTGTTGTCCCCTTGTACCTAGAAGCTTTAAATTCCTGTGAGCATTCCCAGACACCCCCTACAATGTGTGTATAGCATTTTCACGTTTAAACAACAAAAACATACACTGCAGCCCCATATGGAATCCTGCTAGTATTGATGCTCCGCTCTGCCGCTTTGCCGCTCGTCGCTCGTCGCTCGTCGCACGTCGCCCTGCTGCATCGCAGCACTCGCGCGCGCGCAGCGATGTCCGGCTCGGCTGGAGGACTCCTGGGCTGATCTGCAGGGCGTGGTGCCCGGGACCGAGTTGTTGGAGCTGGACGGAGAAGAAGCGCCTCTCGGCCGCGGCCCCTTCGTTCGTGCCGCCCGTACGCGTGGAGATCCGTGGGTCGTGGGACCACCCTTTTCCTTCTTGCCGCGGTTGATGTGGGCGAGTTCCGCGCCGCGAAGTCTGGTGAGGCCCCGGCAGGTTTTTGGGTTTGAAACGGGGCCCGATGGTGATCCTTTCAGAAGACGACCCGGACAGCTCACGACCCTGGGGGTTGGGGGTGGAATGGTGATCCATGACCACATGGATAGCTCACCGACATCGAGGGTAGTAGCTCACCGGATGTTCGGTGCTGGGAATATATTTACACAGCACCTGAGAGTTGCTCTTGAAAAATATGTTTAATAAATTTAATATATTATCTTTGAACAATCCATGTGGAGGTTCCCTGATTGACAAGTTGGAAAGCAGATTGCTCTATCCAGCATAGGACATGTTGATTGGAACATAGTCCTCCAGGGAGTTCATTCTCAGCACATCAGTGGTAGCTTGCAGGAGGACATCCAAAGACACCATAGATCATATCTAATCTATTTACAGTGGTTTCAGAGTAGATGGCGCAGACCCCAAGATGTCTCTTGGGGTCTGTGCTATCTACTCTCAATCCACTATAGTTTTGGTCAAGGACCACGGACCTGTGAAACAGCCTAGCCCGGGGCTCCAATTTGCATGAGCAACCATCTGGGGTCATCCTAATTCCTACAAGTAGAAACTGAAACAATTGAGACGAACCAGAAATCTGTAATATGCTTTGAGCAATGGGTGTCTCTTATTGAGGAAGCCTTCCGCACAACCCAATGAAAGGCCAAGCACCTCCTTGCTTTCACAACATGCCCCCTGGATAGTAGGGAGGTCCTTCACCATTACCCAGCACTCGATGGGTCAGCAGTTGCTGCTTTTGGTCGCCATTTTCGCATCACCCAGGACCCAGACTGCTCCTTTCTCATGTGCTGAGGCTCCCCTGATTGATCTATCAAAATGCCTCACCCTTCTCCCCCCCTCCATCGTTCCAGTGCATCGAACACAATCATCCACATGCATCGAACTTTCTCCATCGAACTCGGGATCTGGGCCTTGAAGAAACCGATGAACTGCCTGTCCAGGGGCTGCCTCACTCCAGAACACTTCCGTGAAGCCTTGCAGCGGCGCCCCCTCCGCCTGAAGCTGGCGCCGCCCTATGGCGAGGTTTGGCCGCTGGGCGCTGGAACCGGCAGGGCGGCAGACTTTTTGGGGAAAGGGCCGGGGTGGTGCCTGTGGCAACGGGAAGAGCTCAAGTTGATGGGAATTGGGATGGATGACCCCCACATTGGTCAGAAAGAGTGAAAGGCTTTGGTCAGCTTGGAATATGGCTTCTGGCAGAGTCTTGTGGCGTGACTAAATCCGAAGGATGAACTGAATTGGATCGGTTGTTTGGAATGAAGACACTGTGCATGTCATGTTCGATAGTTGCATCATTCTGCGACCTGATCGATATGGGCCTTTGAGGAAGCAAGTGGCGCACTTTCAGCAGCAGCCACTTGTTTGCAGGGAACCGCTGCTTTGGGCGATGGGTTGGCATTTCGTGCCGATGAAGTCCGGGCCGGCAGAACCTGGCTGTTCCGCCGAAACAGTGGCTCCGAGGGTCCTCGGCTGCCTGAATCATTCAGAACAAGAAGCTAGACAGGCATGGCACACAGCTTTGAACAACAAAGGGCGAAAGGTGTTTAAAGTCTTTGCTAAACATCGAAGCTGTTGAAACTGCTTGCCCGTGAAAGCACCGCACAAAGAAACCATACAGTCACTTCCACATGCCAACGAAATGGTAAACAAGATGGAAGTATCATGAAGTAGCGCTGGACTCCAAAAATCGCCGTTGGCCTGGGGTGGAAACTGGATCCCTTTGCAGTTATGCGCTGTGTTATCAGTCTACGCCTGGGATTTCAGGAATGGGAGATGTTTCAAGGCTCGAGAGGGTTGAAACAGTTCTCCGGAAATCTCGTGAAGCCTTTGGAACCATCAACCATCGGGCCCACAAGAGCTCATTTGCCCAAGAGGCCGTGGCCGGGCATGGATTACTTTCTTTTGGACGTCTGACTGGGGTGGCAAGGTTTGGTTGCAGATGTTGGCTCAAGCTCATCACACCAGCACAGTCCGAGCAATAGTCAGAAGCAGTCCTCAGATTGTGTGGCTTTCCACAACTGGGTGCTTGTATGCTTGTACATGTAGACTACAAGCCCTCCCATTGGCGAAAATGTTGAAAACAAACAGGCAGTTGCCAGCACCAACTCATGACTGAGGATCAGTGATTGTTTCCCATTGGTCACAGGGAGGACAAACACGACTCCCTTTCGCAGCTCCAGCTGTGCCGCCCTATACCGTTTCCTCCGTGGCGCCCCCGTGGCGCCTCGGTGCCATGCAGAGCCCAGATGATGGGCTGAGGCACTTGACCGTCAGCGAGGTGGATGGCAATCTCGCTAAGGCGACTTTCGGGGTCTGAACCGGAGGAGGGATGGGGATTTGGACCTCCATCATTCCAAAGGGCCAATCTTTCAACCACCAGGCAAATCGTTCTGAGCCCGGATCATTTTCAGTAAAGCCCTTGTTAAGGGCTTCATGCGGGCTTCAGGGGAAACATGTCTTAAGGACTCTTGGACCTTTTTCTCATTTGGATTCTTTCCTTCACAAATCACTGACCTGGTTTCCAGGACAAGAACTTCAACATTGAGCCTCACCACCTGGACCTGGACCCCGCAGAATCACCTGGACCGGGTGAAACCGCTTTGTCCGTCCTCTCTCGCAGGCAATGGCCCACAGCAATGAGTTGGAGCAGCGAGCTCGACAGCTCCAGGCTCACTTTCAGCAAGCGCAGAAGGGGATGATGGAAATCAATCGCCTGTGTGACTTGGACTGCTCAAGGGTGAAGATGGGTGGAGATGGGTGAATTGGCTACTACTAGACGAGAAACTCCCCGTTGTTGCGGTTTGGAATCAGAATATCATGGATCATCATGGCATAAGGAGTACGTTCCAGAGTGCAGGGAACAAATCCAACTTTTGAAGCAAATCATTATTTGGGTCTATGGCATGGCGTTGTGCCGTTTTCCCTGGTGTTGTTTCCAACTTTAGGTCCTTGGGGCAGTTGTTCACGATTTGTGGCTAAATAACTAGTCTAAATAAATACTCTAAGCCCACCACCCAGTGTAGCAGGCCCATCCAGCAAGAGTCGCTTCGACCATCAAGCTCCGCCCAGCCAATGGGCCCTGGAATCCACCCTAGTGACCCTAGTGGACAAACAGTGCCAAAAAAAAACAGTAATGCATATCAGAACCACCCACGGGGGTTCCAGGATTTCCCAGGTATATATTGTCTCGGGTTGGTCCCATCACCTTACCTATAACATCCTACAACAAACTGTAACACTCGGTCAATATTTATCTCACTATTTTAGAGGAGGCCTTTAGTAACCATGATGCAAGGCCTTTGATATTGCTATAGGAAGGACTGCTCACTGCTGATGGCTCCAACTAGTGAACTGCTCCAGAAGAGGGAAAAAAGAGGGTAAACAAAACCGAGGGTTTGTTGCAGCTTGCACCCTCAATAAATCTCAGGTGACCAAGCCGATAACACCATCATCCAGGGCCAAGTCCTGCTGAACCGTTCTGCACATCGCCTGCATGAGCTGAACGAGCGCCTCCAACAGCTGCAGCCCAGTGGAGTTCCCGAGAGCCCACCGGTCTCGAAGGCGAAGCCCAACGCAACGGTGCGCAGACCCTCCTCGAGCCGCAGCAGCTTGAGGTAAGGGCTTCATGGTAGATGGACCAGCACGTGAATTGGAGATGACACTGGTGGCATCAGTAATTAGTGCCAAAGTGCCAGATGCACCAAGATGCTCGTTTCACCCCATGACGGCAATCAGTTCGAAGACATGGCAGTTCTGACTCGATGTGATTGATTTGGGGGGAGTGAAGATGCCTAAGCCGACTCCAAGTGCTCATCCAACCCGACTCCAAGAGCTGTACGTCTTGGGCTGCAACGTCTTGGGCTCATTCTACAATGGTTAGTGGACCAGGTATTGTATCCTATGTGTCGCTTGCACAAAGCCCGCCGGGTAGGAGTTGCAACATATGAAAACTGCGCGAAAGAAGGTATTGGGGAACATTTGTTTACCAGATTTTGCCAGAAGAACGGTTAGCAGTTTAGCACCAAATTTGATTTTAGATTTTCGGTGGTGAGTCATGCATAGCACAGCGCACAGCACTTTGATACTATGATTACTATACTTTTAATATCTCTATCTCTTAATATCGTTTAAAGTTTGTTGCTTTCCTTTTTCCGAATCCAAAAAGTTCTTCCCGACTTCCTGTGCGGAAGGCAACGTGTTTCTCCAGGCCACTTTCTCCTTGCAGTGATCATTTGCTTTTTGCACCAGTGGTGTGTCAAGCGCAACCTGTGTTTCAAGATCGGCATGGCCTAACAACACATGTGGCGCCACGGCTGGCCGTGGTCCTGTCGTTGTTGAACCCTTCCCGTATGGAGGTTTCGACCGTGTCAACTCGTGTCGACCGTCGACCCGGCCGTGTTTCTTTCGCTCGTCTAATCCAAGAGATGACGGGTGAGTGTCTCTCTTCGCCGTTACTTCGTCTTCAACAACATGCGTTCGCTTCCGAGCAGTGCCATTAAAAGCGTTCAGCAGTGCCGTATGTGCACTGCAGCCACATCAGCCACTGCGTGCACCGCTTTCACCGCTTTCTGAGGGTGGTGGCCTTGAGCTTGCAGAAGGCGTAGGGACAATGGGGACGAAGTCCGATGGGACACAGCAACCTTATTGAGGAGTGACACCTAATTTGTTGGCCGACCTCAGTAGCTGTTTCATACCGGGAAGGGAAAGTAGAAAGACCAATGAGGCAATGATTAAGAGTCCACCCACCTCACTTGTTGAAGTCTTGGACGGCTAAGAAGCGGTGACTTTGGTTGGGGGTGTCCAGCAAAACCCTGGCTTCCGCAGCGGAGGGGTACAGATGATAGACCTCAGCGAATGGTTGAAATGGAGTTGCCCTTCATGTCACTGGACCACTTCACAGGACCAACAAGCATATGCAAAGCCATCATCAGGGCGGAAGGGAGAGAGGCGGAGAATGGGGACGTAGTGATTGAGGTTTTTTGGAACATCCATTTTCGGGTTCCAACTTGATTCTTCACCTTGTTTTTGGAGCCTCACGCCAGGCTCACTCAGTTTCATTTGGAGTGGAGTTGTCCAATTTATCCCGTTTGCTGCAGAAAGTCTGAGAAATGCTCCAAATAACTAGATCCAAATAGATCAGACAGACATAATTCCACTACTTTCGATGTGTTCAACGAATATATACAATATTATTTGACTTCAGAACGTTTGGACATCATTTGCCTTAATCTGTTGAACACTTGCTTTGAGGATTCACTTCATTCTCATGAGGGGTGAGAAACTCTCCACGTTTCAGCACACCAGGTGCACCTTCAGCAAGCTCTGAAGGATGAAAGCGACCGCGTCATGCGAGAGCTCGTCACTTGGAGAGGCTAAGATGGTCCTGAGGGAAACTATACTTCCCTGCAGAGGACTACGGACCCCCAAAACCACTGGGCCGTAGTACGGCGGCTTGCCTTCCACCGGTCCATTCGCAGGTTCCATGGGATCGTTGGTGGGACATCCCAGGACATCCCAGGACAGTCTGACCTGGTCCTTTCGGGATGTGATGGTCTCGCTCCAGGTACCAACGCTTCCTTAGAGCTAAAGCTCGCGATGAGCCCAGCCACAATGGACGTTCGTTCGGCCTGGTCTTCATGATCTGTCATGAGGGGTCTCATGACACCCCCTCTAAGACATCGGACACCTCCCTCTCAAGCAAACCATTGATGGTTTGCTTGAGATGTCCTTTCAGGTCCTCTCGAGATCAAGCAAACCTTCATGGCTTTCAGAAAGAGCTTCTGCTCGGAGCTCTCCTGAAACAGGTCCGAAATGGGTCCTCCACCGCAGACCACCCGAGAAGCGCAGACCTCTTCGATCTTCGACCTCGTCCTCGTCTCACCCGGGGTGGGAGCGAAGAAGTCGTGTGCTGTGCCCAGGGCATTTGCACGGAGCTGGAGAAGTCCAATAGCCTGCAGCACAAGGTGTGTGAGTTGTTCGGACAGGACTTGGGTGAGGAAGGAAGACATTGGGATATCGAGATGATGTGAGGCAATGATATGATCTTGAAAACCTGAGTGCGTAGAATCTAGTGAACTTCTCGAAGGGTTGGCAGTAGGTTCGTCATCCCCATCCTGCTTCTTTCTTGCGTTGATCAGGCCCTCCGGTGCCAGGACCTTCGCCGTTCGTGAAGCCGGCTTCCGTGTTCGTGTTCGCCTCGTCTTCAGAGGCGAAGCTGCTGAAAGATCAAGCTCAACAACTCCAAGAGAAGAGGGACTTGGAGGAGGAAGTGGAAAGGCTCCAGGCCGCGTCTCGGGCTTCACCCGCTTCGATCGACGCGAAGCGGCTAAGCCGATTATAGTGAAATAGGTCAGAGGGGCCCACATGTGGCTGATTTGTCCTTCTTTGCCCAAGCAAGCTCGGCTGCAGAACTGGACTTTTGTCAGCTGCTGAGCTGCACTTTGGTCGCGAAGATGCTTGCAGGACTTGCCCTGCGAGCTGACAAGGGGTTTAGAAAAACGGATGACTGGCTGCCTGGTCAGGTGAGGATTGGATCTGTCAACCAACCTTTCCGCTAATTCCGACCGTTCCGGACACCGGTTCCGCTCGCCGGTGCAGGTGGAGCTAGAGACCTCTCATGCAGAACTGGCTTCAGAGCGGCAACAGCTCGAAGAGGAGAGGAATAGGTGGCAGGCAGCCGACTTCAGATGGTCAGAGGTTTAAAGAACATCATGAATCACGCCAGACTCTATCAACTTCTGTGTTTTGTAGTCATGATGCTAATACCTACTATTTGATTCCTATGGTTTGGGAGAAGCCTCTTTGATCATGCATTCTTATTGCGCTTTTCTTCATGTTCTTGCAATTGCTCAGCTGGATCATGGAGGAATGCATTGGTCAGTAGCGTGAGTTCACTGTGGATTGAAATCTGTCCAAACTCTTTGGCCATACAAACTGGCCTTTCACTGGTTTCATCATGGACTTGGGGCAGTTGGATGCCCTTCATGTTGAGCTTTCCTGTGCTCCCTGTGCTCGTTTCTGTGTGTTGTTCCTCCGCGGCGCCAGCTTTGCTCCAGGCGGAGTTGGAAGAGTCTCATCGGCGCCTGGCCTCCGAGCAGCAAAGCATGGAGGACGAGAGGAAAGACTTGGAGGCGTCGGACCCTGCCATGGTGGAAAAACACATAAAGCACGCATCCGACTGCAGGGCGGACCAAGTTTGGAACATCTATATACTGGCTGGCGGTTTCAGATGTTGTTTATACAATGTTGCTGTGATGTTTCACACCTTACTTTGGATGATTGAACCATGCTGCACCCACTTTTATAGCTCGATGCATCTTTAGTCAAGCGACTTGAAGCCAACCGGTTGAAGCTCACAGCTTGGAAGGCCTGGTCGTGATGGTGCTGTCAAGATCGCCCGCCTAAAACCGGTGCTGAGAGATCCCAATTTACTTCAGCACATCAGCCCAAATCTGTTGAGGAGAGAGAACTCTTATAGATTCGATATTTCGATAGAGGTTTTGATGGTTTTGGGGTTTTCAACATGCCGTTTTCACAACCCAGGTCCCAGTGGTGTGAGGTGTGTTTTGTCCTATGCTTGCCTTCTTTCATCTTCTTTCTGTAGCAGGGATGCAGTCCTTCAGCTTTCACGTCACATTTGATCCATATGATGATCCATCTCTTAACTTCTTAGCACACACACAAACCCATCAGAGTACTCATCAGCTTTCCACCACCCCATCTCTTGTTCTTGGGGCTCAACCGCCTGCAGCCTTTCTTATTGAACTGTCATCCGGCTTCCGTCAGGGTTTTCGGCCGTGGTTTGGAACGGTGCGAGCGCAGGCCAAACTGGACACAGCCACTGCCTCCTGGAGCTCGCAGAAAGAGCCGCTCGGTGGGTCGTGTTGCGTCCTTGTTACTAGTAGCGATGCCCTCGGTTCTAGTAGCTTCTTGCTCCTAGTAGTAAGGCCAGGAGCTACTGTAGCGTCCTTGCTACTTAAAACTTGGGGGGTTGGGCCTGGGATGGATTTGGGTAGAATGGGATCAACCTGGGACCATGAGAAAAGCACACTGGGTGGTAGATGTGAATAGTCTTGCGGGGGGTGAACTCGTTTTTACACCATTCATTGAACTCATGAAGGCGGATTATTGAACTCATGGGGACAGATTGGCACCGAACTTGGTCCATCGGCGGTGTGAGACTCGTCCACAAAAGACGTGACGAGTCTCACAACTAGGTCAGTGGACCGGTATGCCCGACCTCGGTGTGAGAGAATGGGGTGGGCAGCACAGAACCGGTGCTGCACTTGATGCACGGACGAGGATTTGTGTGACACCCTTGGAAACTGATAGGATGCGGTTTTAGGGTCCGATGGCAAGGGCGAGGATGCTTGCAATAGATACCAGGCTTTATTTTATCCACTGCTCGTGTGACATGCGAGCGGTTGTGGTTTGCAACAGTGTGATTCTAGGTCATGAAGCGGAGACTGGCGATCCAAGGCGCATGGAAGAGGAGAAGAGTGAGATGCAGGCAGGACAACCCGCTGGAGATAGACATTTCATCCCAGCTGGACTGTGCATACTTTCCATGCACCAGCTTGTTAGACATGGAAGAGGCACCATGTGCAATCATTTGTCGGCACATGTCGCCACAAACATGTGCCTTTCCATACGCCAGCAAGATCCAGCAAGCATAATAGCAAGCATACTTCAGCGTATAGTGGCCCCCAAGTAAACAGTGGCCCGGTTTCCAATACATTTTTGGTGGGGATCTTCTTTTCTATCTATTTCAGGACCACTATATATATATATAGGAGAGGCCCTTGAAAGTAATCTTTTTAGGTTTCAATCGTTCAAATTGGCCACTGACCGAGATCATTCTTAAACTCATCCATGTCACCTCCTCACTGACCCGTGTCACCGCACCCCTGTTCGTTCCGTGTCACGAAACACGCGGACCTGAGAGCCGGGTCCCCTTTCTTCAAGCCGGTGGACCGTGATCCAGAGGATCGCCAGCTTCAGAACCCGAACGGCGCACAGCTTCACGGTGACTGAAAAAGAGCAAGGCTTATTCATGTGGCAGAGCCCCATACTGAACAAGACTTCTTGATGTGGAGAAGGACCGCATAGGACCGCCCTGCCAATGGAAAACTGGAAGCACCGCCCTCGAAAGATTCAGCCGCAGGGTTCGACATGCTCGCTGAACCGATCACTGGGATGGCGGCGAGGTCCGACTTGTTTGAGGTCTTGACGCCGTGACGCCGGCTGTGACATGGTCTCTTTTTCATGTGGGGGGCATGCAAGTGAGCAAGTGACTACAACAGTTCCTTCCTGAGGCCTCAATCTCTGAGCTACAAGCGGAGCTTCAACGATGTAAGGCTGAGCTTGCTGCTTGGACAATGAGTTTTGGAGGTGAGATGTCCGTCCTATGGATGCCTCAATGGCTCACTAGAGGCCTTCAGAAACAGTTGGGTAAAACATGGTAAAACACTCAGCCCCCTCAATGGGATTGCACAGCTCCAGAGGCCTAAAGTTGAAACTGGTCTTGCAGAAAGACCATTGGAGTGTGGCCAGTTGCCACAAATTTTAACGACGTCCGCTACGGGTCGATTCATTTGTCCGGCATGTTTTCTGGAAGTGGCACAAAGAACCAAATAGAGGCGAACGTTACGAAGGCGAATGTGAACACCACGGGGCAATATTCAAGGACCGTTGAGAATGCGCCTGCCTACCCTGTTTTGCTGGTTACTCGCGTGCAAAACATGTCCAACACCTGCACGGCTTCTGAAACAGACAGAAGTCAAATGATGTCAAACGTTTGATCACAGCCAATTTCTGATCATAGTCAGTCATATGGCCCCTTGTTTGGTCATAGTCAAACCTGAAATTGAATATGATCCTCCAATGATCCCAAACCACCCGCACCTTTGGCCCCAGCCCAGGCGGCGACAGCGCAGTCGGAAGAGTTCAGGCAGGGTTCCCAAGATCTTGGAGACAGGAAGCGCGCATAGCCACACAGACGGACAAGCCCATGACATTTTGTTGGAGGGAGCAGGTTGTTGTGTTGGACTAATGCATTACAGTACAGTACACATTGATTTAAGGTTAATGTATATAAATCTCCATTGGGCAAGTCTTGGATGGTCCAGGTCTATACGGTATACGGTATGTTTACAAATCTCATCAAATCTCTATCCATACCGTATAGACCATGCAGCCCATGCACCATCTTCGTGGCCAGGGCGAAAGTCATCGCACGACGTAATCATGGGACTTATATTAATGGCATGTGCAACAGTACATGCCACGAACACAGTGCACACGTCTTTGTCCAACAAAGAGGGGCTAAGGTACTTGATTGCAAAATGCAAAGCAGCAATTTAGTTCCGTGTCCATGTCAACCTTGGTTCCTGTTTTTAGTCAACCGGCAGATTGGCCACTGTCCTCCAGATTCCAGATGGTCGGTCAAAGGAGGAATGTTCACTTGAGGTCTGCAGCGGAGTTCAAGCAGGCCGGTTCCGCCGAAGGGATTTATAACGCTTGAACTGGGTTTTCCAGCAAGATGCACATACTAAATTTAATTGATTAATCATGTAATTACATCGTTTTCATGGCTGCCCATGGATGTGCGTGGAGAGCGGCAGAGAGGGGTTGGTTGCTCACTAATCCAAGCTCCGACAGGAAAGAGGTGATGTTGGCCAACTCTCTTGCAGTATACTGTAATCTGGGAAGCCTATGACACATGACCGTATTTTTGCATCAATTCCCTGAAGCTGCCAGAGACATCGCTTTTTCTCGATAATGCACAGTCAGAGTTAGCAGCACTTGCTGGTGCTGCTTGCGCTTTCGCCTCAAAGGGATGAAATTGGAAGTCCCTTCATGTTCTAAAGTACTTGCACAGGCTCGCTCCCACGTTATCCCTTATTCATCGAGCGGGGGCATGTACAATTGCAACTTTGCAACCAAACATGGCTTGCAAGTTGCTGTTGGCTTAATGAAAGCGCACGGTTTCCAAAACACTTGATTCCCACAAACCATTGTCCCCTTTTTAGACTTCAGTGACAAGGTGTTCCTTTTGTTTAAGCTGGGTGCTGGGTTCCCACCCACGATCCCGCCGGATGGAGCGAGCGTCCGTGCATGGAGCGAGCCACCGCGCTCAGGCGGAGCTTGAAGCGGAGAAACTGCGCTGCAGCGCAGAGAGGGAGGAGTCTGAGGCGCCAAGCGCTTTGGGTCGGCGTGCGAGGCGCATGAGGTTGTGCTGGAGTTTGTGCTCAGTTAAATGGAGACATTTTCAAGAAGCGCCAGCCTCCAAAACACTGCAAGGATAGCAACAAAGACTTCGGGCAAGCACTGTCAACCTTTGAAGAAATGTGAGCAAGGACTTGGTAAGTTGAAGAATTGAAGTTAATGTGGATTCCCAACATCTTAGAAGCACGTCAAAAAATCACTCAACTGCCAAAGCTTGTCGAATATGAAGCTCGGCTGTTCACCCTGAGGTGTTGCGAAGAAAGCTGCAGGACACCTGGGGATTGAACAAGCCGAGGGGTCCTCGGAGAGGAAACTATGCAACGATAGATGACATGATCTACGTACCAGGACCCACGCGCTCGGGGTGGTTGATGGACACCCCGAAAAAGCCGGGGCTATCAATGGCAGCTTCAATATCCGTCCAGGTGTCCTGGCATCACTCATAGTATTCAATATCAGTTTCAATATCTTGCTTTGCTTCCTGCGGGGCGCGAGGCTGGCTAAAAGGACGGTGCCAGGTGACTTGTGGTGGCCTTGTAGCTTTGGGCTTGGCTGTTATGACTTGTGGTGCTTCTTCTGTTTTCGAGGTTGCATAAAAAACACACATATAATATCATATATAAATGTTTCAGGTCTGGCAGGCTTGGGTGAACAGAACATGGCTTCATTTCTACCATAGCTTGATAACTAACGAATATTTTGGCTCAAGTGCCTTGGCCAAACTAGCGTTTGTTCTCTCTTTTATGCATATATGCAATTCTAAGGCCAAATGTTAGGGGTTGACTCCTTGCTCGCCGAAGGAGGAGCCAGATTTTGATAGTGGCTTATGACTTTTGGTTGCTCCTCGGAACCTCAAAAAGTAAAGAAAACACACAGCACACACACACACAACAAATAACTCGTACTGCTAAAGACGGTCCTTGAAAGGGATGTGCAGGTCCTTGGGTCCAGAATCAGGTCCTCCTGCACTGTCCGAGGTGGTTTTGAGGCGGTTGGTCAGGGAAGGACTGAGGTCCTTCCAGTCAGTGTATTCCCATCAACCTCAAAGGTTTCATGAGGGGTAATCCTTAACTCGACAGATAGGCAGAAAGTCACTGTAGTCGGCTCTTTTGGCCTGTGCATGCGGAGGAGCAAGATGCTCATGTACAAGAGGTGTGGAAACGGCGACAGTGGGCATTGGTAGTGCAGCTGAACCGGGGAATTGATCCAACAGCAACGGATGTCCCCAAAAGTCGTATGGCCAGGTGGCAGAATTCAGAATATAACAACTCAAGACACCTTCAGCATGCTGCTCATGACTTGATCCCCTTCAAGCTTCAAAGCCTCGGCCAACTGGATGGGGGAGAGGTCCAATCCGGGCTCCAACTACCTCCCCTCCAAGCTCTGAGGAACCCGTCCAATCCTCGCTGGGCTCCGTTCGCCGGGCGCCCGCTCACCGTCTCCAGGTGAACGCCGAGCTCTCCAAAGTGCGTGGCTTTGGCTGAAGAGCCGCGCTCCGACGTGGCGAGCTCGGCGCGTCGGCACAAGCGTTCGAACGGCGGGGGCTTGAAGTGGTCGATGAGGGTCGGGGGTGGGAGAGGTGTATTAATAGTTCAACTAGTGAGACCTCCCAGGCAAGGACCTCCCTGGGTTCGGTTCGGGACAAATCGACCAGTCTACCCAGTCTACCCAGCCTACCGGGCCAGGGGGTCTCCTTATTAAAATGCACGCCCATCGTTGTTCCCATCGGCTTGGTAGCTGGCGCAACCTCACCTCCCAGCTGCCTTAGGGCCAGGTTTGGCGGGGATATGCGGGGATGAAACCACCATGGAGTGGTTTCCATGCCTCATTGAACCCCAATCCGTGTTGAAACAGTGAAAATCCACCGGGGTAGTGCCACAGGTTTGTGTGGTGCTTGCTGGTGTTTTTGGAGCCTGCTCCCAGCCTGCAGGGGATAACGAATTTACTTTCCACCCACAGTACGGGGTTGCATATGAGCCTCTCATGTATGTCAGGGATGTCTAATGATATCTCTCTCTCTATATATATCTTCTATAATTGTATTTCCTAGCTAGTCCCTGCTGCCCAAATCAGATGCATTTGACCAAGGAAAAGCGCTCTTTCATTTGCAGTGGCTGCAAAAGATGATGTAGTCTACATTCTGAATCACACCGATCCATCAAGCTCCTTCAAGCATTGGTTCGATGCACTCTGAACCGTCCAACCCATGCCATCAGAGGCTGAAGAACCCTATAGACTTGTTCCATAGGTACCCCAGCAGGTCCTCTAATGGTCACATATGCTCACTTAACCTCTATTGGACGCCATGCCGCCCGGATGCCGCCACGCTACAGAGGCCTTCAACTCGCCTCCACGCGGCCCAGCTTAGAAGCGCTTTTGGCCGAACTGGCCGGGGAAACACAGATCTGCCCGCTCGCGTGGGCGTGTGGGTGACAGATGGTGAGCTTTGACCGCAGGAGGCTGATGGAGTCACCGGGAGAGAAAAAGCCTTGCAAGCAAGTAAAGGACCTTCAAGAAAGTGAATGAACTAGGAGCAACTTAGGATGAAGTCATTTTTCACCCTCCTCACTAATTCCTTTCGGGTGTTCCTTTCCCTCCCATGGCCAAGCCCAAGATCTGCCTCGTCCTGGCCCACACCCACGCGTCCTACGCGCCATCGTCTTGACACGCCGCTCAGGCCACACCGGAACTCTTCAAAGTTGAGAGCCCGGCGCCGGTGTCGGCCACGACGGGGCTTGGTCCGGGCGTGACGCCTGCGGCACGGCGGAGCTTCCAGCGGAGAAGCCTTGTGCTGGGGGGCCTTGTGCGATCGATCGGAGCGCCCAGAACGAGAGGACAGCGGGCCAATGCGGGCGAAAGGTAATATATATATATATATACGATATAATATGATATGTGAACATCAATAAAGATTATAATTAATTAATGTGAACATTAATCAAGATACATTAATTTTGTTGGTTCTGAGAGAGTCCGTTTGTTGGCATGCTTTGGCATGCACCCCCTCCGATGTGCGCCATCGGTCCCCATGCCGGATCCGGCGTGTCACGGCGCGTGAGGCCAGCGGAGCCAGAGAAGGTGCAGGCAGACTCCGAGGAGGAGATGTTCTGAGAAGGATAGCTCCTCCCTATCCCCCCGCCTATTGGTGTACATGGGGGGGGTACCTCGGTACCTGAGAAGGTCCCGGCAGATGATCGAACCCCCACGGTGTCAGGTCCAGAGGCCGAAAGAATGCCCACGGCTGAAGAGGTTTCGACGTGTCATACGACGTGGGCTGTGATTCCAGTTTGACCCCGGAGCACCTTTCAGAAACTAGCAACTCATCGTTTTCGGTGATAGGTGATAGCGCGAAATAGGTAGAGCAGTGATGCCTCTCTCGAATCTATGCTGGAAAGCAGTTTTTCTTCATTGATCACCTTTAACTTTAAGCGAATCCGTTTTGTTGACCAAGGCCAGATCGGACGGACTCAATATTTCTTATATGCAATATGCTTCAGCCAGAATGGGTCGCCGGCCGGGCCTGCGGATGAAGCGCCCCAGGTGCCCCAGTGACATGGAGAAAACGAGATCGGTTCGATGGATTACGGTCTTTGATTCTGATTCCCCCATGTGAACAGTGTGACTCAATATGACTGGTTGTTCTGTGGCGGTTTAGCTTGCATTAGGCACTGTGAAATTCCACAGAACTTGACATGTTGCCATGCTAATCAATTATGTAATTGTGCTTTCAGGAATCCCAAGTGCTGATGAAGACAATACTAAGCGTGTTGGGAACACTGAATTCCTTTTCAAGATTGGTGCTATTACTGCCTCAACGTCGTTTTGGGTCCAAACATGCTTCAGGTCCCTCCATGCCCGTCAGTTCATTTGGCGAGACATGGCGAGACGCCTTTGCGTCACCTGTACACCGGGCGTGTGTTCGGGAGCGTTCAAGCTGAAAAGCGGCTTGAGGCGCGAATTGCTTTGTGACCCCTGTTTGGGGGTGAGGACTGAGGGTCAGACTGAGGGTGAGTGCCAGCAAGAGCAAGTGAAGGGGAGCAGGCGTTAATTGTTTTTGGCAGAGCATTTAAGGACATTGCAGCAAATTTTTGACAATGGAGCCTGCAGACCCTTGTTGGAAGGCCAGACCCTAAGCACCCAACCAGTATAGCTTTGTTTGCTTCACAGCGGCCCAAAACCAGTCTTGCCTCTGTTCATGGTCCAACGACTGCTTTGCTGACAATCGAAGGCTGAGGAGAGGTCTATGCGACGCAATGCGCCTGATGTGCTTCATCGTCCGCCCTTGGCGCACGTACCACTGGTAGTGGATGGAATGGATGGAGAGTAGATGGCACCATCCCCAAGTTCCCATCTAAAAGACATCCAGGGGCTTGTGCTATCGAACCGTTGAAACCACTATACCCAGACACTCCATGTATGGAATATATGCCTACATTGGCCCCCCAAACCACTCCAACTGATCGGCATATATGGCATACATGGAGCGTTTGGGATATATAGATTGAAGTTGTCCTACAAACAGTTCTACAACTTTACAGCCACCTGGCAAGTTGGGCTGAAAAACATATACCTGTAGGGCACCGGTCGTAGGAGCAGACGTTTGGACAGATGGCAACTGTTCTAGCCTTGAACATGGAAGAGACGCAGCGCCAGGACAAGATGTGATGTAGCTTTCAGATCCTTCGAAGAGCTTTGCCTAGCAGCTCCTTCCAAGGTGGTCACCCCCCAAATGGAATACCACATAATACATCATAATACCACGCAAAATCTCAACAACACATGATCCCATGCTACACTGGACACAAACATGAATGTGAATCCCCACAGACCTGCGAATCCCCACGGCTCCGGATGAATCATCGGACTGTCGAATGTGGATTGCGGGCCGCAATCAACGGTCAGGATCTATCCGAGCGACCTTGGAAAGGGCCAAGACAAGGGGAGGACAACAGCAGGACGAGAGAGGAGGACAACAGCAGGGCAAGGACAGGCTTAGCAAACATCCATGTCCAACCCTGCCTGCCCATGTCCAACCGCATGCGGCCGATATATCTATCCTTTGGCAGATCCGGCGGGCGTGGCTGGAGGAAGTGAAGGACGGTGCCGCAGTTTCAGATCGTTTCCCAAGTGCCCGCGTGGAAGCCACGGGTGGTGCCATGGCTCGGCTGCGGCAAGCATCCATTCTGATGGTGCTGGTGCTGGCCATGCTAGCAGACGCTGGGCAGATCTGGGCGGTTCTTTGATGTTGGTGGCCGTAACCGTGAAGCTACTTTTGCAAACGGGTTGGCATGTATGTCATAATAATACTCGTATACACGTTACGTACAACCCAAGCAACCGCGTATACGTGGGACAGAACCATCCCTAGGAGTCTTAAGGGATGGTTTGTGGAGTGGCAGGGGTTCCCGAATTCTCCTCACTTGGAACCACGCATAAGACCTCATCGTAACCTATCGTAACCTCCAGAGCTCGCACAACCATACCCCAGGGAGATTTGGGGAAGTGAAACAAACCCAAACACTCCATGGGACTGCCACATATGCCTATTATTGACCCCCCCCAACTATCCCAACTGAACGGCATATATGGCAGTCCCATGGAGTGTTTGGGAAACTGTTCACCGCCTGCTCCTCACTGATCACTATCCTGTCGACGCCCAGCCATGCCCAGGCCATGCCCAGCTTCTTGATGCCACCGGCCCCGAACGGCGCCCGTGCGTATGCGCTTCGGGGCCACACAGACACGCGCGTCGAAGCGGCGGAGTTGGCCAGCGCTTTGCCAGTGGCCACTGGGCCTCCAGAGTGGTTGGCAGATGCCTCTTTTTGAAAAAAACATCAGGATAAGGCTAGGATAAGGCTGGTTTGGCAATTGCACAGCTATGGGCTGGGGGGTTCTCTACAACCCCATTGTCCCATGGCTTTTCAAGTGCCTGTCGTATCAGTAGTTGATCATCCTTACTGTAAATTGGAATATTTACTGGGACTTGTCCGAGAACTTGCTCCGACGTGCCTGTTTGATATTTGAGGACTGTTCAAGGAGTAACCTCCCATGTTTCAGAGGAATGGGCAAATGGAAGACAGGGTTGCGGTTTTCACTGATCAAGACAGAGCACCATGGATGCCATCCTGGTTTTCTTTCAGAGCCTTCCCTCTCCATTCGGACCTGCGCATGACGCAGAGGCTTTGGGGGCTGGGCTCATGTTGGCGCTTACCCTGCTCGTGCCGGCCACCAACCGCTACGAAGCCAAGGCCGCTACGAAGCCATGCGCGTGCGCTTCCGTTCGTGGAGGGGCATGGGTCCAGCACTGTTGAAGTACGAGGTGCTAAACATAACTTATGGCCAGGAGTCACAAAGGGGTGGTGTTTTGGTCCCTAAGTGAGTGGATAGTGGGCACCCCTACCCTCCATTAAGCACCCCTTTTGTGACTGCTGGGGGAATTCTAATATTTTAGTTTGCACTCTTCAGTGACCTGGAGAATGACTTCTTGGAAGACGACATTTCGTTAGACAGACACCAGGGGATGTCCACATCCCTGTGATGTGTTCGTCAGGGTGTAGCCCTTGTATGCCCTTGTTGCATTTGTTGGACTTCGGCTGTGGCTGAGTTTTTCACTAGAGACATGCAGTTTCATATTTACTAATCATCATCCACTGGGCCCTCGTAATGGGATATACCCAAATGATCACGATTCACGATTTCTTGTGGGAGACACCCGAACAAGTACCCGAACAACATGCATTCACCTAGTTTCGGAGTTCACATGAAGGACCCTCCAAGTGGTCAACACAGACTGCCGATTCCGGCATCGCCCCAAACACATGGACGATGGACCTGTTGAGTGGTGTTTTGGGACCTGTTGAGTGGTAGCCCACCAGCTGTAGCTACTGCGGACTCCGCGGGTTCGGTAGGTCCACCCGTTTCGGCTCGGCTCGGCAAGGACTGCCAGGGCCCGGCTTCTCACATTGCGAGAGATATCCAGCGGGACGAGGCCGTGTTTGTGCGGCACAACGAGGAACGCCTTGGCCAGGCGGGGGGGGATTAGTGGACGTTAAGAAAATACATAAAAGAGTGCGAGGCTTGTACTGAGATGGGGAGTCATTTCTGTTAGTTTTACAAGTATGTGTACCTCGGCTTTCCTCTTAGTCTTTGGTTGTGCAGACAAAGGGCCTTTTGGATGCGTTGGTATGCACTAGGTATGCACCAGGTTAGGATAGGATGATGTTGGAAGGCACCAGAGATGCAAGTATTTACGGTTTTATTTGCTTTGCCCTGCAGGGGGGTTCGCATCAAAGGGGTTCAAAGTTCAGACTTGTGAATGGTTTGGCCTTTGGGCTGATGGGGCGAGGTGGGAGACAAATACAATCACTATTGGCTATCCAGCCAATAGAAAGGGATGTGTCCATTGTCCACATCAATGTTGGTTGGATAGAAGAAGGTTTCTTCCGCAGTCAGTACATCCTGGGAACCATTGGGGTGTTGGACAGAGACTGCTCAGGTTCAGCATCACTTGAATGCAAAACACTTACGTGACCACTCATCGTGGTCACCACACTTCAAGGACTCGTGGTTCGCAAAGCCATTCATTGTTGACTTCAGGCTTTGCAAACCTGTCCGGGGCTCGCGGCGCGGTGCATGAAGCCCTCCAATTGGCCAGGTCACCCCAGTAGTTCTCGGTCACAATTCGTTGACCCTGGTGACTGGTGTTCTCAGCCCGTTCTCTTCTTTACAGTGCTTTCAGAATACTTTAGAATGGGTGTCCATGTAATTAAGCCACCCAACTTGGGAATTGTGCCATCTACTCTTGAAACCTTTGTAAAACCTTCCGGAAAGCAAGCTCATGACTCAATCCTTGAGCCAAGACTTCGCGGCAGGTGAGACAGAAGTTGAGGGAACATGCCAAGGCACGGGGTGTCATGACGTGTATAGCCGAACAACACCGTAGGGACCTTTGGTCCCTTTTCCCTTGAGCCACGTGCACATGCATTTGGTAATTAAGTAATGCAGAAGATTCCATAATTTGGAGTTCTTTCGTAGTTCATGCGCATTCATCGCGGAGTTGGATGTTGGAATATGCACAACCGCGAAAGTCTGGCGGAGCGCCTGGCCTGGAGCGCCTGGCCTGGCCAGGTGGCTGTTGACCGACGCCTGTGCTTGGAGTTTGACATAGACCCAGTTTGAATTATGTGCCTGAGACAATCTTGGGTTGCACAATTAATGAGGGGTTCAACATGTGAATCGCTTCCGGGACCCCTATACAGAGATATACACTGACACCCAGGTGTCACAGAAAAGGGATTGAAAAGTGCATGTTTGCTGTTAGCCAGGGTCAGGCATTTGATAACAGTGGATGCCCGGGTGGTGAGGGAAGTTCCGCTCAGTTTTCGATGCGCTTGTACAGTGGATCTGACAGATTTGCAGATACAGGGGTTGTCATAGGCTTACTCAGATAGCCGCGCAGCAAAACGCCGAGGTTCACGAATATATAGGAAGTCCTCAGACTTTTGAAGAGAGCTGGGCACATCCTTCGTTTTGAAGTAGGAGCTCTATAGGTGCAGAAAAACAATCTACAAATGGCGGGACATTCATGTAATCTGAAGAACCCTGAAAGTATGAAATTTGCATTGAGTTGTTTTTCAGATCAGCATTTTCAGGAAATCATGGGCGGTCCCAATCGAAGCATGCCATGCCATGACGTTTTTTTTGCCGCATCGCGGGCGCTTTTGGGGCGGGCCTTCCTCGCTCAGGGTGTCCACTTCCACCGTCCTTTGTCACTCCCGCTGTGCTTTTTCATCACAACTGGGGCTTTAGGGGGGTGTGACAACCCCAACTTGGCTGCAGTAGTCATCCAGCAAGTGGCGGTTCCAGATTGATATAGAGAGAGAACCCTTAGATGCTGGGGGAACACTACGCTTTGAGCGACTCAGTCCAAATCAGCAAAGATCATGGCCACGCACTCGTGCCTTGGCACCGGACGGCCATACACCTGCCTAACGAACGCGTACTGATCTTCAACGTGAGAAGAGTTGGTCCCGGCCCAAATGGATGTTCTCAGACAGTGACCAGCCAAGATTGTACTCTCCCTCCACTCTCCAACAACTCTAACAATCATGGGAAGTGGAACAAGGCACCTGGAAGGAGGATTATCCGACGAATAGTTACCAATCAGGGGATTGTCCACTTCCAATTTGTTGGAGCGAGTGTAACATGTGATGAACCAGAGATATGGAGATAGGCCGAGTTCAAAGCAGATGCAAATCTGAGATCAGCACAGGTCCTGCTTTTGGACAGGCCAGACAGGCCGACATCCGCGGTCCAGAGCGGGCACTGAAGCTTGGGATGTGAGCCGGGGGTGTGGACTCCTGAAATCACGGCTTTTCGCGTGCGAAGTTGGCTTTGGAGCCCTTCTGGAGACCACGCTGATCAGTTAACAGTTGACCATGAATCCTTCATCAAATCTCTCAACACATTTGTAAATAGGGTGCTGTCCACCGGGGAACACTCATCGCAGCGCTGCCAAAGGGGAGGGCAGAGGCTCCCCCTTTGAATAGACATGCCTTCCGGCAAGCCATCCTGTTGTGCGGATCAGAGGCACTGAGTGGAGCCGCATGTGCGGAAAACAGTGCGACCACAGTGCATGGGCGTGAACCTGACGATCGCGGTTTCAGTGACCACGAGCGGTTTGGTGTCTACCATTGGCCACTTCTGTTTTGACGGCCGCTCCCGGCTTCTCAAGCTAGCAGAACATGAAAACAGAGATCAATGTACTCACAGGGGTCCGAGCAAACATATTGTTTGTGCGGAAGCGCAGAATAGTTTGTTCAATTCTTTTGCCCAGACCTGTTCATTTTCTGAAGGTTGGAACCCTTGGGGCATTTGGGAGGGGATGCGGAAGCCCTGTGTTTTTTGTCCAGGACCTTTTGTCCAGGAACCACATTCGCCTGACCTCTTCAGGAAGTGTGGTTGACCCAGTCACCATGATCGCCATGACTACTGAGGATCAGAAGATTGTCAACAAAAATCAACATCATAACAATCATAAATACATATATTATAAATTAATACAATATTTTCTCATATATCAACATCGATCATCATGAATCCTTTTGTCAATTAACTTACCCAAATCCCCCACCTGGTCACCCTCGTTTCAGCTGCACAAAGAACGCCACGCCAGGGATGCTCGAGCGTCTTTCCCGGCGCGGGGGCCGACCATATTTGTGGACCAAGTTGTGAACCAAAGACGCCAACAGAGGTTGAGAAGCCTGAACTGGGACCCTGTAGGGCTGTACATACGGGATAGGTGATTTATAAGGCTGTTCAACCTGTCCAGGTGGGTTTTGAGCATTCTTGGCTTTGAACCACGCGACTCGTGATCGTCCTGGCTTCATAATTGCACGCTCAAGGCCCTAGCAGAGGTTGACGAGCGGGGTTCCCTTCGAGTTCCCTATTGGTAAATTCCCCAGTCTCGGTGAACCAGCACCCCCCCCAAACCCAGGACATACCTTGTAAAGCTACAAGATGATACACGACAGGTTTCTATTGGATGGTGATGAGCGATCAGGATATTTACTATGTCGAATGCTTTTACTTGCTTTCAGACCTGGACCTATCTACACTCCTATCTACATGCCACTCTTTTTCGAAGCGCAAGACACAGCCGCTGCAGTGCCGTTGCGCCGCCTGGACTGATCACCTTTTCCTCTTCGCTTGCTTCGGACCACGAGGCCTCTCATCGGAGCCCGGACCATGTCCGGTCCAGGCACGGCGGCACCCACCGAAGATGGGGGTCGTTCTCAGGTGGTGGAACAACATGAACCACCTGCACGCACACACATACAGTGTGTATCAGTGTCTAGTTGTATACTTATTAATTATATAATGCATTATAATACAATATGTAGTAGTTTAAACTACTAAACATGAACATTTATTTATATACATGCAATTAACGACCTGCTTTTGGTATTTTTTGGTCATTCCAGAGCAGATGGCAGGTAGATGAGCAGGGTCGAAGTCCATATGTTCTTGTAAACTTGTAGTGTACTACTTGTCATTGGGGTTTTAAAGATTTGTGGCGTTCTACCGTGTTTGTGGGCAGTACACCCTTTGCATGGTTCAACATTGCTTCTTGCTTGCTCGATTCGTTCGATCTCCTGGCCGATTCGTTCGATCTCCTCCGCCTTTCCATGACTTGGAGGACCGAGGTTATCCCCCTTGCAGGACCGACGCATGCCGTTCGCTGCAGGTCCAATTCTTATGATCATGTGCAAGCGAGGGTGGATACCAACTTGTCTCAGCTGCTTGGACCATTGTGGTTTCTTTGGGCCGGTCTTTATTGGGGCGGAACCTTTGGGTCGTTTTGTTTTACCAGTTGAATCAAGCGACAGAAGCCGGGAAGGTAACCGGTGCGGCATCCTTTTCTTGTACGCAGGATGAGGCAGGAACGCGAAAACACATCCGAACACAGAGCCTGGAAAATACTGGACCACCATGGTGTGCATTCCCTAGGGCTCCAACCACCTCCCAAGAAGATGGGCCAGGGGTGGGTGCCAGTGGGTCTAACCGTCTAACCACCGAACCTGACGATATGGGACAGGAGCCCCTAGGGATTGTGTGAGCATGTCAGCAAGATGCAAGATGCAATAAGTATTCTGGTTTTGTCCCTTTCTGTGAGCAGGCCGTCGAGTCCGTCGCCCAGGTCTGCCAAGTCGTCACCTCGCCGGGAAGCCAAGTCACATCGGAACAAAAACACAAAGATGCAAAGGCAAGGAGTTTGAAGTGATTTTTGTCTGGAACATTTTTTTGAGTTGTTAATTTTGGATCAGTGTTTGATCATTCATACCTCACCATATTGCTGGATGCCAGTGGGTAAAGACAGTTGATTCATGCTATATACTACAGAGCGAGACCTGTGGCCGTTTCGGAAACTCGCTTGAGCAGCCCAACACGACTCGGCCCATTCTGCCCCACCTACCCTGCACATCAGTGAGGTGAGATGGAAAATGTTCCTGGTGGAGGCTCCCAACTATACATCCCGTGGACGGGTACGTCCTATGCACATCCAAACCTATCCATATAGCACATATCCCTAAGATTGTTAGGATAGATAGATGTGACGGTCCCTGTTTTTCCAGTGATTGAATGGTAGGATCTAGTCAGAGGGCATCCCCAGCAGTGCTTTGTTTTAAAGAAGGCAGAACATCTTCCTGCACCTGAGAAGGCCCGTACTTTTGGCAGCGCCATCACTTCAGAAGTCTCATGGCTTGCGCGAGCCACTCCGCCAGCTGCCCAGGATCCGGCCGCTCAGCATCCAGGCTGAGGTCGGTTGCTTAGGTTGGCTCATGGAGGTGGAGGAGAGACCGGCACTGGCACCATGCAGAGAGGTTCCAGCAGAGAACGGCTTTTTGCCATGCGCACCCTGCTGTGCAACAGTCCAGCCTATGATGCAGCGCAGCTGGGGACGAGCCAGTGACTGAAGATGTGTTTGTAGATCGCGTGTTTTGCACGTGGAAATTGTTCGCAACATAAACCACCAGAACTTGGACGATGACACAATGCGGTCTCCTTGTGGCTTACTGCGCATCGTTATTGATTTGTTTGTGAACATTTGAGCCATGAAACGACGTGTTGGTCTGAAGAAGTGTACTTCTAGGCCCTAGGCAACTTGGGTCACCAGATGTATGGCATTGTATGGCTCCAAGTTCCGGGCAGCCCGCAAAAGGTCGATCATCCCTTTCAAGGGTTGGGTCTGCATGATCTCCCCGAAACATCCCCAAGAACAGGGACATTGGAAGGGGGAGCCGGCAGCTTGATACAATACCATATGATGCAATTGACATCCATTTACTACCTTTGACACCGCATTTGGTGTCATGTGTGCAGGTAGCTTGTGCGCTCAAGTTTTGATCATTTTGGATTTCAACATAAAACATGGCCACCCCTTCATGGAATAATAAGGCTGCTTGCCTCAGCTCCTGTTTGTTGCCTTGGGCCGGGTTTCCTACGCAGGTGGATCCACGTGCCTCACCATGCGCAGGTCGCAGCCCTGTAACTATGACCACGTGAAGGCCAAGGTGGAGACCAATCTGCCGGAGACCGGGCGCCCAGAGACCTTTGATCCAGTCTCCGCCGTTGGATGGAGGTTTGGCACAATACCTTCAGTTGGATGAAGCAAGACTCGGGGTTCGTTGTGGGTGGCTACAAAACGTTTTCAGTCGATGCAAGAGGACTATGGATGCAAACGCAAACCTGGCAACTCATAGGGAACACGCCAGACTCGCATTCCATGGTGGATGTGTCCACCTGATGGCTTTGCCATGCCTTGCCCCTGCATCCCCTGCAAATGCAACCCATGGTGCAGAAAACCCAACGTATCGTGCGTTTCATGTGAGGGACACAAACAGGTTGATTGACAATCATGCTCAGGGAGATT